ATTTGGAAATTTTGGGATTAAGTAAAAAATTTGGAAAAATTTGGAAAATTTTATTTCCAAAATTTTACGGGTCCCTGCCCTAATCCTAATGTTGGTGGCGAAATTTTTTTAGAGTAGATCAGTTTGGTGATGCTAGGGTCTTAAATCAAACCTAAGAGATTTCTCCAATGTTCTAAGATTCCCGAAGATCGCTTTTGCTTCCAATAATCCTATTCTTTAGTCAGATAGTTTACCGCGAAATTTCATCGCAGTTCGAAAATACAGTCGTCGCTCATTAATATCAACTTCCGTTAATATCTACCACTCATTAATATCAACCTAACCTATAGAACAAATTTCAATATATATCAACTTTAGTATAATCCCTCATTAATATTATTACTATCAACATAAATTTATAATGTTTATTAATAATTTTATTCTCATTAATACCTTTGATCAATAACAAGTACTTATTGGTCACTTACACGCCTAGTAACGGTATTATTCTTCTGTTTACAAATTGTGATCGGTAAAATAAGGATAATATTTTTTTATTATAATAAAACAATGTTCTATACGCATTTCTATATTATCCACTCCCATATAATATTAATGAGGGACGACTGTATCACCTTTTTCTCGTTATAGTCTATTTTCGAATATAGTACATACGACTTCAATTTAAAAAAAAATAGTGTTTAAATAAAGCACTGGGTACTATATGCAGTGAACAAGGGTAATAGTCGTGAGACGTTGGATATTATTTTTCTGGAAATAGTGCTCGGCATAATCAAGAACTTGGTGACCAAATACATGATCAAGTTGGATATCAAAGATTTAGAGATTGTATGTAAATAGAATTTCCATTAATACGTATAAATAAAGGAATACTTGATCTATTTAAAACAACATGCATACAGCGCATATACGTACGTATTGTATTTAGTGTTAAGTATTTGTTAATTTTGAGATCTCACGATCTGAGAATTCATATTTATTTATTTTTGAAAATTTTTTTAGTTATTTAATTATTTAAAATTCTTTAATAATCCCACAATACAAAAGCATAAAGTATAATATAAAAAAACATAAATTTGAAATATAGCATAATTATTAAAAATCAAGCATGACTACCATTTGTGATAGTAATATGATTAATATTTTCAATAGAAAAATTATTATTACTATCATTATTCTTGGTCTTTAGTTTTTTCAAAAACCATTGTTTAAGAGTTACTTGTTCATGATTAGTTAAAATTTTATAAATGGTAGCACCATGCTGAAAAGATATTTCGATTCCTATTTTATGAATATAAGAATCACATTCAGGATATAAAATCTTTGGAATAGGACGGGCAGATATTATTCCTGATATACGTAATTGATTTGTAGTTTCAAATTCAGTTATTTCAGCCGGCATGTTCGTTTCCAATTCTATTCCTTTAATCATTATTGAAAACATGCATATTTTAACAAATAGGAATACATGAATAGAATCAAATAATATTCATTTTAAAAAA